CAGACCCTGTCGCTCTCTCCACGCCCCCGTCACGCGTGGGCGGGCGAGTGACCTCACAGGGTTCTGATTCACCCCCTTCCTCTGGGCTCTGTTTCCTCAGCAATCAGGCTCTTTGCTGCCTGTGAAAAGGTGTGTCCGTGGGGACAGTATCACACAAGGTTATGACCGAACTGCTGTCACCCAAGATCTGATTTCTCAACACCCGGCCTGCACATCACCCTGAGAACGCCCCTTCCTTCCTCAGAACACGGGTCGCTGCCCACTGTCACCGAGTCCTCAGCCATCCTCGGCCTGCCCACCATCCCGCCTTCCGCACGGCACACACACCTGTTAGCTGGCACACACGCCTGTTTGCTTGCACACACGCCTGTTTGCTTGCACACACGCCTGTTAGCTTGTACACACGCCTGTTAGCTTGTACACATGCCTGTTTGCTTGTACACACGCCTGTTAGCTGGCACACACGCCTGTTTGCTTGCACACACGCCTGTTAGCTTGTACACACGCCTGTTAGCTTGTACACATGCCTGTTTGCTTGTACACACGCCTGTTAGCTGGCACACACGCCTGTTTGCTTGCACACACGCCTGTTAGCTTGTACACACGCCTGTTAGCTTGTACACATGCCTGTTTGCTTGTACACACGCCTGTTAGCTGGCACACACGCCTGTTTGCTTGCACACACGCCTGTTAGCTTGTACACACACCTGTTAGCTTGCACACACGCCTGTTAGCTTGCACACACGCCTGTTAGCTTGCACACACACACACACGTCCACTCTAGACTGTTTATTTTCCAGCATCCTCGCATTAGCGCTCATGTCCCGTGTTAGGGCCGCGCGAGGGGGCGGCCGCGGGTTAGGGCCCCGGGATGCAGGTGCGCAGGTGCGGACACAGCGGCGCACAGCGGGCTCACTCACCCATCGCGCTCCTCCTGTTCTCCTCGCGGTCCTCCGTGCGCAGGGGCACCAGGGGGCTGGGCGGCGGGGGCGCGGGCGCCCGCCTCTTCTTCCTCTGCAGGTCCATCTGGGAGCCCAGGGACATCTGGGAGCACAAAGGACACTCAGTGTCAGGGCGGCTCTGGCCAGCACAGAGCTTGGGGTACCCACGGGGGGAGCCAGCTTGTGGGACACGGTGTCCCCGGGAGGGCAGTGCAGGCTGCCGTGTCCCCAGGAGGGGCCCTGGGGTGGCCAGAGAAGCTCACAGACGCCCCCCAAGACCCCTCTGCGCTCGGGGCTGTGCCCATGTCTTACAGGGACGCCTGACAAAGCCAGAAGTGGGGTGACGTCTCAGCACAGCGATGAGAAAGGGCTCCTCGCCCTCCGTCAGCGGCCAAGGAAAACTGCCCCTCCAGGGGCTGCAAGAGCGCTGCCCGGTGGTGCCCGCGGCAGAAGCACCGAGTAACACCCATCGACTTGAAACTTTATTTTTTATTTAAAAATATGTTTATTGATTTCAGAGAGGAAGGAAGCGGGGGAGAGAGAGAAACATCAATGATGTCCACCAGCCTTTGGAGAAACTGATGTGTTATGACCTCGTTTCCCTTAAGGCACAGAACTACTGAGGGCGTTGGGTCCGACCTGCTGTGCTCGGAACCTCGGGAGGAGATAAAGGGAGCCCCGCATGTGCTGAAGGCCTGATCCGCCTGCTATGCTGCCAGCCCCGAGGACGGCGCCACGGAAGCGAGCGCTTCTGGGAACCCCGTTCTAGCATTTCTAGAGCTCCCCCGGGAGCCCGCCTGCGCACCGCTGTCCCATCCCCCTCCGACCACCTTCCGTCTCCTCCTGCGCACCCTTCGGGGAC